TGTCCCTGCAAATGTCGCAATGTAGTGACAGCTCGTTTAAAGGCTCGAACGTACATCGGTGCACATCTGCGCCACCCATCGTGAGCTGTTCAGCCAGCCGCCAGGCTTCACTTGGCCGGCCCGACTGCACCGGCTCGCGGTCAATCTCGGCCAATGTGTCTGGGGAGGGTGCTGGCCGTGTGGTCCCCTCATACAGGACAGCAGCGGGCTGGGTGCCGACCCTGTGCCGTCGTCCGCCGCGTGTGGGCGGGACGCGCCGCTCCTCCTCGGATGGGGAGGGTGTGTGTCGACGGCTCGCGTCGCGCCGTCACCATGGCAGTCAGGGACCGCGTGCTGCGCGGACTGGGGCTGCCACCATGGCAACGCCTCTCGGACCCACGGCCTGAGGTTGCTGGTCTGCGGCCGCCCGTCCGGTTACCTCATTGGGCCGCACCGTACATCCTCAGCATTCGCGTGGTGTTTTTTTATGGGTTCCCGGCAATCGGTGCGCGATTGCGTGCGTGCTTGACGCGGTCGTGCGTCTCACAAGTCACGCCGGGTGAGCAAAACCCACCAGGAAGATGTTGCGAGACGCTTAGTCAGCGCCTGTGGGACGTTTGGACGGTGAAGCCCTGCCCGCACCGCTGCCTCTGAGTCAACTCCTTGTGCCGAGTCATGACGGCTTGTCTCAGGCCGTGGGCTCGCTCGCCTGTGCGGAAATAGGCAGGCGTGGTGACGTCAACCGCGTAGTACAACGAACCGCATACCCGTCATTACGAAATAGTCTGACTACACCACTCTGTGCGGGATTCCCCTCCCTTCCAGCCTCCACCCTCCGTATGTCACAAGCCTTCTATTGCGGTCTGGTAAGCTGCCCAACATTCACCCACCGCCCGGCAAAGTTCAGGCAGTCCTCACCGGTCGTGCATAGTTTGCGGTATGTGCTCTGTGATGCATTCATTGGTCCGCTGTATTCAATCGTATGTCCTTGTGTCCATTCTGCGGTGGATAGTGTTCACCCGACTGCCGTGTATCCAACGGCCGGTCCACAGCGGCCATGGTGGTGGTGCACTAGTCCCCAGTCGGTTGCTCTGTTGCGGGTTCACGATGTCCACGTGTAGTCAAACATATCTAGCCCACTCCACGAGCAATACGTTGGTCCGCCGCACCCCCCTCCCCCCCCCCCCCCCCCTCCCCCGTCCCGGAGATCGACAGAATCAGCCCATGTTGCACCCTTCAGTTCATCCGCTGTCATTTCGACGTGCTTTCTCCAACTTTCTACAGCCTTCTACAGCCTCCACAGACTGGCACAATATCTCTACG